ATATATATATATATATATATAAATTCATAACGAAATGTATTTCATACCTCAATACAGGTCTTATAACACATCTAATATGACCAAATGATGCTCGTCCAATCAGTTCTCGCATACAAGTTTCTGCAAACTGCGGTGGATCCGATCGTTCTTCAGTTGGGCTATCCGGTGTTGTGTCTTCCTTATCAGCATATCTAAAAATACAAGCTTGTCAACATGCATAATATTCGTTTCTATTAAATTTTAAATTACCTTGAATTTTGCATGTTGTATAGTAATGATGGTACAATCTTGTCCATATGTACAGGTTCCCAGATGTTCTCGACTAAATCATCAGAAAGAGTTTTTCTCACAACGCCCTATGAAGGTATATTTAAATGTAGATGCAAGTTTCATTACAGTTAATATATAATCTGATACATAATTATTTAGAAGCACCCATAATCCAGCTTAGACCACTGTGGCATGGTTTCATTAGGTTTGAAATTTAGGTGGTCCAATAAGAATTGATACTGATATATAATACTTCAGTGTGTTATACCTGTAAGCCTTGAATTCCAGCAAGCCTAATTTGCTTGCGTGTAATAGGATCATCATTATTAGAATGACACATTGCCGAATATTTTGACACAAAGAAGTCGTAACGAGTGTGATACGAGGGAGTATCTTCTTCGATATTAGCAAATCTGACAAACTGAAAATCCATGTTTTAATTGGACAAAATTCAATAAGAGTAATGTTAATACGTTAAGATTATCACTTACAGACTGCGTTGCAAGGATTTGTAATTGAGGATCCGTGGATTCCAATAATTTTTGTACCATTTTCAAGAAGCTCTCGACAAACAAATTCAGAGTTTGCGCGTGACAAGCTACTAAGAGCTGGTCCATTGCCTCCATGGCAATCACAACAAAGCCATTTCGTCTCCTATTAGGATATAGTGTCTTATCAAGCAGAATTGTTTTATGTAGTTCATCGAAAAATCTATTAGCATGCTATGTATACAAATTATTGCCAGTCATGTTTATAACAGTAATTAGAATTAATTTATCTAATTTTTATTTACATAGCAGCATATAAATATAGATATAACCAGTGTTATAAGTTAATGATTTATGTATAATATACTATCAAAGATGTTATTACATCACATATTTTATATTACCTGTAAATATCTCTGGAAGCTCGTTGAAACAGATATTCTCCAATCCTATCTAATTTTTCAGGACTGCTCAACGAATAAAATGTTAGTTTCTCCATATTATTCTTAATCAAGCCATCCTGAAGAGCAGAAAAGCGGATTAATATGTCGCGTGCAAGACACGTGTCAATCGCATTTCTCATTCGGCGGAAATATCACAGGTTCAACCATAAATAGAATAATCATTTTGGTATCTCCCGCCTATCAAGGACAGCGTTTATTGATTTACTTGCGAACAAAACTATACAACGTATTGAACAAAAAATAAAATATATGAGACGAAAGAAAAATGAAAGATTCGAAGATCTCACCTGAGGATTAACTGGAAAAATATTATCAACGAGTCTCTTGTATCTTGGACGTAACGCAGCACAACACCAACAACAGCCTGATAAAAGAAGAGAAAAAAATAAACATACGTTGACGTGTCACCGTCCGATTACGAATAGACTAGCATTTTTGAAAATACATGATTTTTTTGGCTGTGTAAATTGTCACACTTACCGAACATTTTGACAGTTCCTGTGATAAGCACCTGGTAAACACCTGCTGTAAACCAACGATAGCAGACAGCTACGAGCTACGCTGACACGGCTGGCTACGCATCGTGACGTAACACATGTATACGCATTTTGATCAATCGGCCTATTGGTTGCGTTCAGCAGACTCAACTGTTGCGTAGCGAATCCGTGAACTCTCACTGTTATTGG